TGTTGCTTCCCTTAGGGCAGCATTCCAGCCGGCGTCCTTCTGCATCAAAGAGGCGCCGTCGTATTCAAGATGGATCACCAAGGCGCCGTTCGCGCGACAGACCCGGGCAATCTCACCCCAGCCCCGGGTCATGAAGACCTTGCCCGGAGCGACGACCGCGACCTCCGCTCCGGTTGCAGGGGTGCCACAGTCGGCGTGCTGCAGCCAGAGCTCCAGGGCCCCGCTCGGCGGCATCTCAAAGGCGAAGGAGGGAGGAAGGCGGATCCACGAAGTTGGAGGCATGGCGGCGTGAAGCACAAGCTCACGAGAGGAGCGCTCCGCGTGGACTCCAAGGGGGACGACGCGCACCACTGTGACTCGCCAGCGTCGGCGGCGACATTGTCGGTGTTGCTCGGCGCCCTCCCCCCTGGGGCCTATGACGCGGGCGTGCAAGGGCAGCGGAAACCCAGGCGGCGGCCGCTCGTATCACGGCCTCGACACCACCTGCCAGGCGCCTTCATCCCGGTGAAAAATGATTGGCCGCTTCTTCGGCGGGGGGGGGGGTCAGGACCCTCTCTGGGGGCCTTTCCCTTCTCCTCACCTGAAAACCGGCGGATCGGTGCCATTGGCGCAAGAGGAAGCAAGGATAAGAAAGAAGAAGAGGAGGAGTGACGGAAAGGGGTGAACCGGCAAAGCTCATGCGGCCCCGTACTTATAGCCGGGGAAGGCCAACCGCCGAGCACCATGACCTCAGGTAATCATGACCCATATCTTTGCATGCAGGGACTTATCAAGTCATGCAGTTGCCAAGGCGTCGTGGGAAGTGCAGACGCCCACGCCCACGCCCAATCAATCACCACGCGGCGCCCAAGGCCGCAGGCTGTTAGGGCCCGCGACGCTTCATGCTTGCCCCTTCGCTTCTCTGCTAAGCCAAGCCCGCGCACGCCTTGGGCCCGGGGGCTACTGTCGGCGTTCTGGGAACGGGGGTCCCCAGACTTGCCTGCATGCGGCCTGCGGCGTGGCTCAAGCGGCGGCCCAGCGCGGCCCATCTTCATTAGCTCAAGCTCAAGACCCTCGCGAGGGGCCAAGCCTCGCGGGGCGGACGACAGAACGCTTCCACAGAGGCAGCCTCATCAGGCAAGCTCGCGAGGAGGCGGAGAGATCAAGGCAGGGGCACCTCGCGAGGAACCCGTGACGCAAGCCATGACGATCGAGACCAGGCGGGCGCCGGCCTGTGCAGTGTCCTTGTTTCCCCTTTGGTGCAAAGGGGGCAAGCACAGGCCAAGGCATCAGGCAAAGGTTATCATTCCGGTGCAACGAGACCAAGACCAGCCGGACGGCAGGACGGAGATCACCGTGGAGCCCAAGACGGCGTCATCGCCAGTGCTTTTGGCAGCCGAAGACCACCTTTGGTCAGGATAACTTGTACTAGATGTTCCCCTTCGAAATGGCCAATTGTTGGCGCTCTTCCCGCTCATTATTTGGGGAGAGGCCCAGGGCCTCTATAAATAGAGCTAGCCACCACAGAGTAGGGAGATGGAGACACCCCAAGAACATCGAGAGATCTGGTAGAACCCTAGCAGAGATAGAGAGAGAGGCGATGAACTCACCCTAGCAGTTCATCGCACCAGCTCAAGAACACCTCTCGCGAGGCTGTTCTTCCCTTGTACTGTCCATCATCAGCCCCAGAGGCAATCCACCACACCACACACTAGAGTAGGGTATTACACCATAACGGTGGTCCGAACCAGTATAAACCTCGTGTCTCTTGTGTTATTCATCATTTTCATCTTAGTTCGCACGAGAGGATCATACGTAGATTGGTAGGGAAGAGATCTTCGCGCGCACCTCAGTGTTCGAACCTCAAAGGTCTGCCGGAACCCGAAACCCGACACGTGTGCGCACTACCGTCAAGGCCTCCGATTATGAATGCATCTCTGGCAGGGCAGTGCATGTCCAGGAGGAAGGTGCAATCTTTTTCATCAATGGCACCACTCTGTTTGCCTACAAGTACTCGCCGGAGGAGGAGGAGGACGCGCCGCTCGAGCCGCCGGCGATGGTCGACATGCTGTGGCCGTACTACGAAGAAGGGCGTGGCTTCGTCGTCCAGCTCGCGGGCCGGATGCTGTGCGCGGTGTGGATCAACATGTACGAGGCGTGCAGCTGCGCAGCGCGGCATGCGATGATCACCACGTTCCGCGTCCGGAACGCAGCCGGGCCAGACGGTGAAGGCAGCCCTGCCCACAGCATCGAGGTCTTGCACTCCACATGCCGCAGGGTGGACATGCTCAGAGAAAAATCATATCAATACAATCACTATGACACTTTTGCCACTTTGCAGTAAGTGTGCCTGCCTTTTATTTAAGTTCTAACAAGTTGGTTTCTGCTTAAACAACAGTTGGAATTGGGGCTTCGAGTTGTTCTTGATTGAATTACTACTTTAGTGGACATCATTTGATGAATACTTTACTGCAAGAAAATTATCAAGAAGTTGCTGTGCTGTCATTTATTTGATTTTGTATGTATATTTTCATTGGTGAACCAGGGCATATGCTGACGATGCATACAAGGTGGATGATACCTCACTGCCTGCAATGTTGGGAGGGTTCACCCACCCTGTTGAAGATTCCCAAGAACTTCTTAAATGCTGCAGGTTCGATTTTCTCGTCTTCAGTTAGTTCAAGTACAACTTTCTGATCATGTCTTGGGTGATGCTATAACAATTAGTTACTGGAAACAACTTTTCTTGAATTAGTTACTGGGCTTTTGCTACTCGATCTGGGAGCATTTACCTCACTTGTGCTTTAACAATTGCAATTTCCGCCTGTAGGAATTATTTGAAACGAAAAGGCGAACTGGTTTGGACCGCGGACAGTCTTGTGGACTGCAAAGTGGTGACCAAATGTGATGTGTATTTTGTATGCCAGGTTGATCAGCAATCTGTGTTATATCAAATATCTACTTCTGGAGGAAAGTTGAGGTGCGATGCAAGTGTGCTAGAACCACAGTTGTGTCTAGACACAATCAGAGATGGAGGTGTCAGTGTAGATTTCCCTGCAACCTGGCATTTTGTACATGACGGATCCCAGTTGTTTGTCATCCCTTCTTTTCCAGACCATAGTAAGTACAAGGTTCATCTGAACAGCATGACCTACGAGCAACTTGAGATCAAACAGCATGATAAACAACTTGAAAGAAAACAACATGTTCTATTCCAGCGTGAGAGCAAACAGCGCGATATCTATTTTTCGGCCGTCTTCCGAGCCGGTGAAGACATTGTCGCCCTCGGCGAGAAGTTGGTGGCTCTCTATACTCTTGATAAGCAGACTTTACAGTGGGACCGCCACCGAACATCGGGGGATTTGGATTTGGGGCAAGGGATTAAGGTTTCTGGATTCGTAGACATAGGCGACGGCAAATTTCTGATCTCCGATTTCGACACGGAGAGGTGTTTCTTGTGTGACTTGAGGCATGGTCAGTGGTTTGTTGTAGAACCGCCAATTATGAGCAGGTGGCTCGGCGAAATCGGTTTGCTGAACGGGCGATGCATATTTGCGGAAGGTTTCGTATATGCCTGCTGGGACGAAGGCCTCGAGGCCTATGAGTTGTCTCAAGATGATGGAGAGTTTATCCTTGGTGCTCCCATCGTGCTGGAGTTTCCCTGGCAGAAGTTCTCCGACAGAAGGTTTATGAGCCTTGAGTGCATTGGTAAGGAGGACAGCAGCATCTCTGGTGGTGGCATTGTCTTCTGCGTGATCCAAGGGTATTTTACCGCGGATCCTTTTACTGATAGCCATTCCCTGACTGCCACCACCGTGATCGTGGAGCGTGAAGATGCACCTGGAGGGAAAAAACGGCCCGTCAGAGTCAAGCATGTTGATGTTGCTGTTTCATCTGTCCGTCATGAGGAGCCCATCTTGACAAACTACGCTTTTGCTTTATAAGCATTTTGATTTGATCCAACTCGATCTACTACTGTGCTTAGTCTTTCTCCTGCATAATGAATAGTAATAAATATGCATGTGTACTACTATCACGTTATTTGTTTTGAGCAAATTCTATCACATTATTTGTATTGTCTTATCTTTCTACTCTGGTGACAAGTTCTTCTTTGATTCATAGGAGAAGTGGAGGAAAAATCGTAGGAATATGAATTTTCCTTTCCTTGCACTGAAATTGTAGTACAGTCCCCTCTCGATTAATATGGATTGGAGGGAGTATAATTTTACAATCCCCTCGTGACTAGAATTGTGGCTTTCTTTACGACTGCCCAGATATCAACTCTGGTAGTCTAATTAAGGGATAACGTTTGAGGACTGCCCAGATAACACATGCAGAAATTTAAAGCTGAATATCAGACAGAGAAACACCAGTATGGATGGTTTCTCCCCCCTCATAAAACTAATTGCTTATGTTACTTATATACAGATAACAAAACTAGAGTAGCGTCCGTAGGGGTGTTGACGCTGCAGGTTACGCTACATCACTCAAATATTCTGACTCGAATGTGCATCTGCTCTGTTTTCATGCTTTGGCGATGTCACTCATAGTCATAGTCTCGTGTTCAGGAAAGTAATTCGTTTTATAAATTCCTTGTTGCAACAATGCCAGTGTAAATCATCACAGATCCTGTTATGCGACTGAAACAGAATCATAAGAAGCACAGAGGAAGCAGGCCATTCGCAGATCTTGGAAAAGCCAGATTCACCTTGCCAACAGGTTACTTGGCAACAGATCAGGTTAAACCTTTTCTTAAAATAAATAAATAACAGATCCAGTTAAACCACGGCATTGGATATCACAGGACTGAGTAATGTTCAGGCCGGTTGTTTCCCAACTAGATTGTGAACATTTTAAACAAAGTGGGTTGCAAGAATTACAGTGTTACAGAAGTAAAACATAATTGAATCCCTACTAATCAAACACCCCCAGAACAACTTAATGCTCAAATGTCAGATCTAAAAGAATTATCAGTAATCAGGTCACATGCTTTGCAAAACTTTAGGCCATAAATAGATTGGTCAGCTGCATCCTTGGAGAGCCTGACTGCTGTAGCTTTGGCGAACAAGCTTGCTCTGGCAAAATTCGTCGGCGCTACCACTGCTGCTATAGCCCAAATCTTTAGATCCTTTGACACTGACACAATGAACCTGAACAGGCAGTCTCTCTGGTGACACCGGTGCATGTTTCTCCAGCTGCAAGCAGTAGCTCCCGAATGTCCCTAGGTTCACTTTCAGCCTGAAGTCCAGATTAAACAACAAATCCAGTTCAAGCCGATTCATCTCGATTGTGCTGATTCCTCCCACTCTGGCATAGAATGCATTGTTGAAAAACCTGCACGACATGCATTGAGAAAGTTACTGGGAAACCTGTGCATGTTTGTGATATACAAAGAAAGAAATACAGCTGAATTGCAGTTGCATTGGGTACACTTACGCATCATCTGTGAATTTGGCAGCAACCACCACACTTGTAATTAGCAAGCGATGAACGCTGAAGAGCGTCATGTACACATTTGGCTGCTGTAGATATCTCTCCATGTAGACAAGTGCCAACACAAAGCAAGATGGACTGCACTCGGCATATTTGAAAATGCGTTCTGCATAGAGCTGTATACTGAGATCTGGCACCTTCTGGCCATGAAAAATAGTGGTCGACTCCTTTATTCCATTAGAACCCAGTAATTCTTCATTCTTCTGAACTGATCGGCCCAGATATGTGGCAAGAAGCGACAGGACCTTAGGAAACTTGGTACTTCCTTTCTTTGACTGTGATACTGTCAAACCCAATGTCAGGTAGCTCTCCAGATGCTTGTCACTGGCATCAATTTTAGATGACTCCATGGGCAGACATAAGTACTGTATAAAAGATAAAGCAGTTGTTAGTGAAAAATAAATGGGCACAGCAGATAGTAGATACTTTGAAGGTTGGGCAAAAGAAAGTTGATCCTAGTTCAATCTGGAGGTATTTTCCCAGGCTGTAACAGCATTGCACAAACTCATAGCTGCGTCGATCCGCGTATAAAATGCGGAGCCGAGCCACGATTCCGTTGTTTGCTACCTCCACACTGAACTTTAAATTTAGCTCGCTCATCGCGCAGCATACTAATCGGAATACAGTTTCCGTCTTGGCAAGGAATGCACCAAAACATACACACACACAAGAATTTAACAAGCATCAGCATGAATCTAGTTCATTCCCGTTTCCCTTTCAGAAGATGAAGATAGGCAACAAACAAAGTAGTAGCTGGGTGTTGCTCCCTTTTGGGCCACCCAGAGGGTTATTCCTCTTCTATTTCTGGTAGTATTTCGCCTGATTTATAAAGGGAAATCCTAAACCCTCAACCAAAAGGAGGGGATAAACAACCATAAAAGAGGTGGCAAGAAACACTCCTTCCTGATGCAGCCGCACCCAAATCCACTGCCCCCGCCCAAAGTAGCCGGCACACCGCCCCATCGGACCACGCGGGCAAGCAGATTTCCGCCTCCCCGACCCTCCTGCGCTCCTTCGGGACCAACCCTAGCTCGCTCGAAAGAGATGAGCACAAGAAAGGCATAGCAGATTGGGTGGGAATCCCATCTAGTAGACCCAAATGCCGCAAGGAGATAGTACGCAGGTAGGTAGGATAGCATTATGCTGTGCAACTTGAGATCTAGGAGTACCAGCCAACAACCCGCACGGGAGGGAGGGAGGGAGAGACTTACAGCTTTGCTCTAGGCTTGAGCTCCAGGGAAGGGCAGGAGGCCTTCTTCTTCTTCAGGGTTGAACTCGAGCTCTCCCCACGGCCGCCCCTCCTCCGTCCGTCTCTCCTCGCCTTTTCGGATGGAACGGCAGCAGCAAAGCTAGCCGCTTCTTTGGATGCTGCCTGGGAGGGAGAGCGAGAGCGAGAGCGAGAGATGTGTCATGTGCTTTATTATATTGTAATTGTAATAAATCACGAAGGGGATGTGAGACATGTCATTATCTGCTGACAGGTGTGGCTCTTGTTTGTCTTCAAAGGCCAACTTACCATCGATCTTGTTTGCTTAATAATTAATAAAGTAATTAAATGCCAAACTAGCACGTACCTATGCGAAGAGGAAAAGGCCCAGAGAGAATAACGCTATTTGTCGTCGTCGTCTCAACCGGCGTGGTTTATCGAGTATTTTAGGAGGGTGGAGATAGAGAGGATGGGCCCTGATACAGCGGCCAAGACCAGTAGCAGCAGGAATAGGAGGAGACCGATGCGTCCTCCACTTCATTCACGTTAACCAAGCTTGGCGCCTAGTCGGAAACATTATCCAAAGCTGAGCCGTGCTGGAGGCTGACAACGCAATGCACGGGTTTATCGCTAATTCGTTTCGGTTGGTGAACTAAGAGCAACTTTTAAAGTGTGCCTACTTTATTACTTTCTCTGCCTCAAAATAAGCGTCTAAACGTTTGCACAATACAAAATTGAGTACAAAGTTAGGACACTTATTTTGGGATGGATTGGGTATTATTTTATTTTATTTGAAGGTTGTAGAGGCAACTTAGGTTGTTAATCCGGAAAAAAAAGAACTTATAAATTGTTAAAAAAAAATAGAGCGGAGGGATCTGTCGGGCCTTAAACATGAGGCCCTTATAAGTTTAAAAAATAAAAGGTTGCGGTGACGCTTACATACAAAACATGACGCAAATAGATGCATACAAAACATGCTCGGTTTTTTCTGCGTGCTCATTCCGATATATGATGCAATCGATGATGCATGCGTGATATCTAATTCTGGCAGATCAAGATGGCACACGATTTTCTTTGCCTCCTCGACACTAGTAGGACACAGGCTTCACGCGGGAAAAACCTTTTTTAGATATTTCAGAAGCTCATCCAGGTTTGCATCCGTCCATTTGTTTTTTTGTCTTCGTCTTTAGAAGTTCTAGCATGAAACTTAAGCGGGTCACCTCAGGATCGTAACCACATACAAAGGAGTCATCGAGTCTACCTTCAGTTGTGCCAGTTTGGCCTCCTCTCTAGAAGCAGCTCTGTCGCTAGTCGTCTTCTTGCGAAGCAGGTCTCGAACATGCGGGTCCCGCATGGCTGAACTTAGTAGCGAAGAAGATGGCGACGTGTCCGCGTCTTCTCCTCCTTGTACTGCCTCTTCGCCATCGCCATTTCCGAGGCCGTCTTCTTCTTGGGGCCCATAATCGGTCATATCTTCGTCTAGCCCCATGTCGTTATTTCCTCCCCCGTCGACGTCATCATCATCATCATCTTCACTTATCCACCGAGTATGACCATCCATGAAACCATGCATGAGCAGGTGCGCCTTGAATTTACCACCCTTAAAGGGGTCGAGCCTGACTCCTCCTTTGCATTTTCGACACGGACATACAACATCCTTCGGTGTTTTTTCATACATCGTCCATCGCGGATTGCCAGTATCTTTCCACCATTCTTCCATTGACCTTCATGATCACCTGCGCGGAGCAAAATATTATAACCACGTATGCATGCATGGATCAAATTCATACAAAAATTCAGCATGGCCTTCCCTAAACATAGGACATATTGAGTTTGCCCGAAGTTCGCCGAAATGGAATTGAATCAACATTTCGGCAAAACATAGGAAACTCATGTCACCCACATTTCAACAAATACACAATATAGGCAACTCACATGCCACACACAATTCAGTATATTCTCATATCACACATATATAGTTTCGGTCCTATCGCACACACACTTTTTTTGCTCACATATGTGTCGAGAGGGATATTGAGCACCTTCTTAATTAGTTAGTAGCTCTAGATAGTGAGGTACCTACATATAGCTCTAACTAGCTAGGGGGAGAGAGAGAGCTAGTGGAGATGGTTGGATGGCAAAGAAAGAGAGATGGAGGAGGGAGGCCATTAATTAATGGAGGTGGATGGAGGGGCAAAGAAAGAAAGAGGGAGGAGGGAGGGCATTAATGGAGGGGGTGGAGGGGCAAAGAAGAGGGGGAGGAGGGGGAGCATTGAAAGGAACAAGCAAGTGCAAGAGGAGGGGGAGAAAGGAAAGGGGAGGAAGAAGAGGGGGAAGGTGGTAGGTATTTTGGCTGGCGACCATGGCAGTAGCACTGGCTACCAATGCGCGCTACAGGTATGATCGTCAGCCAAAATATCTACTGGTAAAGTTCTACTACCTATAGCGTTGGGAGGGAAAACACGCTACTGGTAAAAGTTTACACATAGAAGAAATAACAGTAGCGCGTTTATGGGAACAAGCGCTATAGACCTGGATTTAACAGTAGCGCTAGGTAGACGACTGACGCTGCTAATATTTTTTGACCTGGTGGTGTGGTGTGGCACACTTACCAGTAATGTGCCCTAGAGAAATCAGCGTTGTTGCTGAGCCATACCACTAGCGTGCTTTGTACCCAGCGCTACTGGTAATTACCAGTAGCATGGGGCCCCAAACAAACGCTACTGGTAAACTTTTATGTATAAACATTTTCCTAGTAGTGTGCTACCTCTTGAGCACTGCGTTGGTTTTCCCTTGAAGAGGAAAGGGTGGTGCAGTAAAGCAGCGTAAGTATTTCCCTCAGTTTTTGAGAACCAAGGTATCAATCCAGTAGGAGACCACGCGCGAGTCACCTCGTACCTACACAAACAAATAAGAACCTCGCATCCAACGCGGCAAAGGGGTTGTCAATCCCTTCACGGCCACTTGCAAGAGTGAGATTTGATAGAGATGATAATAATAAGATAAATATTTTTGGTATTTTTATGATATAGATTGAAAGTAAAGATTGCAAAATAAAATAGATTGGGAACTTGTATGATGGAAAATAGACCCGGGGGTCATAGGTTTCACTAGTGGCTTCTCTGAAGATAGCATAAGTATTACGGTGGGTGAACAAATTACTGTCGAGCAATTGATAGAAAAGCGAATAATTATGAGAATATCTAGGTATGATCATGTATATAGGCATCACGTCCGTGACAAGTAGACCGACTCCTGCCTGCATCTACTATTATTACTCCACACATCGCCCGCTATCCAGCATGCATCTAGAGTATTAAGTTCATAAGAACAGAGTAACGCCTTAAGCAAGATGACATGATGTAGATGGATAAACTCATGCAATATGATGTAAACTCCATCTTTTTATCCTCGATGGCAACAATACAATACGTGGTGTTTCCCTTTCTGTCACTGGGATCGAGCACCGCAAGATTGAACCCAAAGCTAAGCACTTCTCCCATTGCAAGAAAGATCAATCTAGTAGGCCAAACCAAACTGATAATTCGAAGAGACTTGCAAAGATAAATCAATCATACGTAAAAGAATTCAGAGAAGATTCAAATATTGTTCATAGATAATCCGGATCATAAACCCACAATTCATCGGATCTCGGCAAACACACCGCAAAAGAAGATTACATAGAATAGATCTCCAAGAGAATCGAGGAGAACTTTGTATTGAGATCCAAAGAGAGATAAGAAGCCATCTAGCTACTAGCTATGGACCCGAAGGTCTGAAGTAAACTACTCACACATCATCGGAGGGGCCATGGAGTTGATGTAAAGGCCCTCCGTGATCAATGCCCCCTCCGGCGGAGTTTCGGAAAAGGCCCCAAGATGGGATATCTTGGGTACAGAAGGTTGCGGCGGTGGAAATAGGGTTTCGTGGTGCTCCTGGATGTTTGCGGGGTATGTGGATATATATAGGAGGAATAAGTAGGTCGGTGGAGCAACGAGGGGCCCACGAGGGTGGAGGGGGCGCCCAGGGGGATGGGTGCGCCCCCTGCCTCGTGGCCTCCTCGATTGTTTCTTGACGTCCACTCCAAGTCTCCTGGATCACGTTTGTTCCAAAAATAATGTTCCCGAAGGTTTCATTCCGTTTGGACTCCGTTTGATATTCCTTTTCGGTGAAACACTAAAATAGGCAAAAAATAGCAATTTGGGTTGGGCCTCCGGTTAATAGGTTAGTCCCAAAAATAATATAAAAGTGTAAAAATAAGCCCAATAACATCCAAAATAGATAATATAATAGCATGGAGCAATCAAAAATTATAGATATGTTGGAGACGTATCAAGCATCCTCAAGCTTAATTCATGCTCGTCCTCGAGTAGGTAAATGATAAAAACAGACTTTTTGATGTGGAATGCTTCCTAACATATTTCTCAATGTAATTTTTCTTTATTGTGGCATGAATGTTCAGATCCGAAAGATTCAATATAAAAGTTTAATATTGACATAGAAATAATAATACTTCAAGCATACTAACTAAACAATTATGTCTTCTTAAAATAACATGGTCAAAAAAAGTTATCCCTACAAAATCATATAGTTTGGTTATGCTCTATCTTCATCACACAAAATATTAAATCATGCACAACCCCGATGACAAGCCAAGCAATTGTTTCATACTTTTGATGTTCTCAAACTTTTTCAATCTTCACGCAATATATGAGCATGAGCCATGGATATAGCACTATGGTGGAATAGAATGGTGGTTGTGGAGAAGACAAAAAAGGAGAAGATAGTCTCACATCAACTAGGTGTATCAACGGGCTATGGAGATGCCCATTAATAGATATCAATGTGAGTGAGTAGGGATTTCCATGCAACGGATGCACTAGAGCTATAAGTGTATGAAAGCTCAACAAAAAAAACTAAGTGGGTGTGCATCCAACTTGCTTGCTCACGAAGACCTAGAGCAATTTGAGGAAGCCCATCATTGGAATATACAAGCCAAGTTCTATAATGTAAAATTCCCACTAGTTTATGAAAGTGACAACATAGGAGACTCTCTATCATGAAGATCATAGTGCTACTTTGAAGCACAAGTGTGGAAAAAGGATAGTAACATTGTCCCTTCTCTCTTTTTCTCTCATTTTTTTCTTTTTTTATTTGGGCCTTCTTTTTTTTGGCCTCTTTTTTTCGTTCGGAGTCTCGTCCCGACTTGTGGGGGAATCATAGTGTAACGCCCCGGACACACCCGCCGGTGGTCGTTACTCCGTGCGGGATCTAGACTGGCCCCACAGATCAATACTAGTCTTTTCTGCACACTTTGTCCTCACTCATGCGCACCCGGGAGCAACTTCCCGGTCGGTCACCCATCCTGACACTACTCCAAGCTGAGCACGCTTAACTTTGGGGTTCTATTCGAATGGGCTCCCGGAAAAGAAGGAATTCCTTATTAATATGAGTAGTCTATCATCCCTAATAAGCCAGGCCATCACATACACCCCCACTCAGAGGAACCGACGTCCTCGTCGGGCCACAGGAACGTTCCCTCTTGGCACATACGTCTGTGCTTCCAGTCCAGTACATGTTCCATGCCGTGTGCCACGACGGGTCACAAACGTCTGTTGGAAATATGCCCTAGAGGCAATAATAAATTAGTTATTATTATATTTCCTTATTCATGATAATCGTTTATTATCCATGCTAGAATTGTATTGATAGGAAACTCAGATACATGTGTGGATACATAGACAACACCATGTCCCTAGTAAGCCTCTAGTTGACTAGCTCGTTGATCAATAGATGGTTACGGTTTCCTGACCATGGACATTGGATGTCATTGATAACGGGATCACATCATTAGAAGAATGATGTGATGGACAAGACCCAATCCTAAGCATAGCATAAGATCGTGTAGTTCGCATGCTAAAGCTTTTCTAATGTCAAGTATCATTTCCTTAGACCATGAGATTGTGCAACTCCCAGATACCGTAGGAATACTTTGGGTGTGCCAAACGTCACAATGTAACTGGGTGGCTATAAAGGTGCACTACGGGTATCTCCGAAAGTGTCTGTTGGGTTGGCACGAATCGAGGCTGGGATTTGTCACTCCGTGTGACGGAGAGGTATCTCTGGGCCCACTCGGTAGGACATCATCATAATGTGCACAATGTGATCAAGGAGTTGATCACGGGATGATGTGTTACAGAACGAGTAAAGAGACTTGTCGGTAACGAGATTGAACAAGGTATCGGGATACCGACGATCGAATCTCGGGCAAGTATCGTACCACTAGACAAAGGGAATTGTATACGGGATTGATTAAGTCCTTGACATCGTAGTTCATCCGATGAGATCATCGTGGAACATGTGGGAGCCAACATGGGTGTCCAGATCCCGCTATTGGTTATTGACCGGAGAGTTATCTCGGTCATGTCTGCATGGTTCCCGAACCCGTAGGGTCTACACACTTAAGGTTCGATGACGCTAGGGTTATAGGGAATAGATATACGTGGTTACGGAATGTTGTTCGGAGTCCCGGATGAGATCTCTGACATCACGAGGAGTTCCGGAATGGTTCAGAGGTAAAGATTTATATATGGGAAGTCCTGTTTTGGTCACCGGAAAAGTTTCGAGGTTTATTGGTAACGTACCGGGATCACCGGGAGGGTCCCGGGGGTCCACCAAGTGGGGCCACAAGCTCCGGAGGGCTGCATGGGCCAAGTGTGG